GCAACTTTGGGGGGGGGGGAATATACAAAGAAAGTTTTAATTACGTAGCTTGAAATGAAAACAGTGAAGTTCTTCACAATGCATTAGCTCTGAAACGGGCCGTTTAGGAAAGTCCTGCTCTACGCAGAAAAAAAAAAAAAGACCTGCTGTAACTCTCTTTGGGGTCATCTAGATCTTCTAAGAGTAGAACTGAGTAGAAACACACTTTGCACAAGGATTTTCAACTGAATTGTCTTCTGGCCTAAGTGCAGCCCTGCTATCAGAGCTGAGACAAGTAGTTCAAGGTGCAAAATGGATCTGCCCACATTAGGAGTATTGATCACAAATGGTGACATCCGTATTTTTACCAGCAAGCTTCCAGTGGCAGCTCAGGCACAGAGGAATGCTGTGCCTAAGGCCCATCTGGTCCATAAATAACGACGATATTTGTGTTGGATTTTTGGTCACTATGCAACTGTGAGGACAGGCTATTCCAACAGCCTCTTTCTGCATGGATCATATGAACTTAAAAATACTAAAACCTAAGATTATGTCATTTTTTCTCTATCCAAAGACTGATGCTGACTTCCAGACAGAGCAGGGAATAACTAACTAAAAGAAAAGTTAAACAGATTACCCCATCCTCCAAGGAAAGACAAGCTGCAGAGAGCTGGATTAATCCAAGCAACAGGAATCTAGGTGGTTAATTGTCAAGTCTTTCACATGCATCCCAGATCTAAATGGCTCCTTCAAGTCTACAAGTCTAGTGGCTGTTAAAAACCTAGATCAAGGGAGGCTATAAAACAAAGTGCAAGTACTGCCACAAATGGGAGCAGGGAAAAAAAAAAAAAAAAGAGGATGAGAATTACTTGTAGTTGTGTGAATTTGCCCAGCCAAAGCAAAGGTTACAGTAACTATCGGACTGTTTTTGAGGTCAGGAGGTATAACTTGTTTTGCACACTCCATCCTCTCAATGTTGCTGGTACCAGTACAGTGCTGGCATCAATGCAGCTTCTATTCTTCTAACATACAGGAGAGAAGCAACTTTTTACACCCTGTTAAAATACACAAAGATGTGATACTGTACAAAGTCCCAGATGCAAGAACAAACCAAGAAGGAGACATAATTCAGGAAGGAGTAACGAGTGCTCTGTAGTGTTGAAACCAGAATCAACAGTGAAATTATGGCACAGTACTGGTGAACCTAAACTCTCCACTGGGAGTGAGCAACAGACACTGCTCGAGCAGAGACGGTGTAAGGCAGAATGTCTGCACTTCGTCTTAAATATATATGATGACTAGCAGAAAAGATGACTTCTTGTTCTGCTAACAATGCTCAGGTCTCTGCCTGCAATCAAGAACCTTAGGAGACCACACATCATACACCGGCACCTGACATCTCAGGAGCCGACACGTCCCGACTTAGGAATGGCTGGGATCTGTTTCACTTCAGGCAAACCAGGGCTTGGCTGTGCTACAGGGGCAGAAGAGGGACCGGTGCCTCGCTACAGCTCTAAAGCTGTAATGAACTTCCCGTGAAAATACTGCAGGACACACCTCATACTGGTGTGTCCACACTGGTGTGGCTTACCTTGTTTCAAACACTGGTGCAAATCACATACTGTGACAGATTTACACCAAGAATGAGCTGCTGAAATTGCATCAGTGAAAAAACTCAGGACAGACAAGACTAAGACAGACAAGAATTCCAGCAGGGTGACTTCTCCTGCTACATGATTAGTGTCTCAGTACCGGAAAGGTAAACCAGAGGCTGGGAATACAGTCACAGTAACAGTTCCTTTTGGCATTTCCTAAAGAAAACTCCCAGTGCAGTGAATGGAATGGCAGGTGAGATCATTAGTCTTTAGGGTCAGAGAGCCCCAGTATGTCAGTAAAAAGAAAGCAGCCATTTCACTCCAGGTGCTTGCTGTTACACCAGCAAGTGATGATCCTCACTGCAACCCTTGCTCTGACGAGACAACGCTGGATTTTCTGGTTTTTGGGGGTGGAGGGGGAGGTTTGGCTTCACGTCTGCTGGGTAGTGGTGGAGCAACCTGAGAAGATAAAACAAAAACAGAAAAATAAAACTTTACCAGCAAGTTAAGACATTTTCCTTTACCAAACAAGAAATCCAAAGGGTCCTGTAGTACTTGATATTTCTTTCGAGAGCAAATCTTTGAATTCAGCCTCTCAGTGCCACATGCAACCAATAAGAGGGGCAAACAAGGACAGATTCCCCAGAGATAACAAAACCAGACAGGTTTTAGTTGCTAGAATACAGTTTAGCTGCAGCTACACTTTAGTTGCTCCTGACCTGCAGCCTGACTTATGAGTCTGAGCCATTTGCCCCTCTGTCCCACCTTGGGTTTATCAGTAAAACGGCCATAAAGTCATTTCCCTCAGGGTTTCAAGAGTCAACTCTTTTTATCTTGCTGGCTTGACAGTTGCACCAAGGAGGGGCCAAAAGGATGTAAAACGCTTCCAAATCAGAACTGTGAAACTAACTCCATAAAATGGCAGCAAGAGTTCTACGAAAGCAAGCCACAGCCCTCCTGCCCCGCACAGAGGCTTGTAGGGTGCTCCTTGTTCTCGCAGGAAACCACACTAGTGGGGTTTTTTCAAGTTGGCTGTTTGCTTTTTTTAAGGTGCATCCTGTAAACAAATGAGATGGGAAAGGCCAGGTGAACAAAAAGCTTATCTGGCTCATCACCTGATTAGCCAAAATGTCAAGATTTCAGAACTCTTTTAACTGAAGGAGGATAGAGTCAACTTCAAAACCCTTCAGAAAATACTTCTACAATCTCTCCTCACAGTCCTTCGAATCCTTTTCATTTGGCTGCAAGCCAAGGTCAATGTTGCAAGCCAGAACATGTTAGTAATTAGTTTTCTTACAAGACTCAAGGGAAGGAAGCTCTTTTATTAATCCTCTTGAACCACTGACTCCCACAGCATCCCTAGAGCTGGCACATTGCCGCCGATCGTGCCACCTACAGCAGCTATACTGCCCCTTTCCAGAAGAAGTCAATTCTGACCAAATGAAGGTCGAAGTAGAAAACCTCCTATTTACCCCAGGCTTCAAGGCTTTATGCCAGCGTCATATCTCTCTCTCTAGCAGAATTCAGTGATCAGCTGTTTTGTTGTCTTCCTGTGCTGTCAGAGGTAACCTATTTTACCTGCGATCATTCTTTAAATTCTTTTTGGTCAAATTCCGTGTTCACCTCACAAAGGAACTCAGTAAATCCTCTTTGCAGATTAGACTGGGGAAGACATCCGTCCCTTCCACAGTTACAAAGGGATGCTTTCTGTTGCTGCACATTGGTAAGCAATTATATCAGAAGCACCTACATTTCAGGAGCAGATGAAACGATTCTGACACAATGACCAGAGTATTTGCATGTTAAATATCTGCAAGCTGTTTGGAATCCCACAGGGCAAGAGAAACATTAGTGGTACAGCATAAAGAAAAGGGCAATCTCATGTTCCTAGAAGGAAATCATCTTCATGAAATTGAGAAAAAGGCTGTAGCGAAGATGGTGATATAATACAGGCTGTTTTGAGTGATTAATGATGCACACCTTGAAAAAACCACACTCTTCTAAGCTCAAAAGGAAATATTTATCATTTCCGAAAATGTGTAATTTTTTTTCTCCCTTCTTTTTCAGGACCAGATTACTGCTCTCTTTTACATTTATAATGTTTTTGAAACTTTTCAATCATTGCACTTGTTTGTTTTCAATGTATGTTCCCACCTCCACACACAGTTTGCCTAACCAAGGACAACACAACTCCCACTTGGAAAAAAAAAAAAAAGGGACTGCACTTGATAGTCTTCTCTTGAAGAGAAAAACTTTTTATTCTTTTGTGGTTTCAGGGAGTGAACCACTAAAATGATTAGACAAGTTTCAAGTAGCACCACCCTAGAAGCAGCTTGGAAAATTCCACTGGTGTCTCTTTCTCAAAAGCTGTTTTCCAAACAAATGTCAGCTCTCATTTCCTTACCTCCACAGAATTCCTGGGGTTGCTATTCTCATAGGGTTTGCTTTTGGGCGGAGGTGGGGGTGGGGTGCTCTGTAAGCTAGAAGTTGCCAATCCATCAGCTTGCAATGAGGGAAAACCTAGAAGCAACAACAATAATAAAAAAAGACATTAGAGAAGGTGGAAAAGGAATGGGAAATGGGATCGACCATGCAGAATTTTAAGGGAGATTCATTGAATATCTTGTGCTTTTGAACTGCTAGCAGTTCTCTGCTTTAGCAGCTAAACCTGAATGGGTATGTCAAAAGCAGAGTCACAGTTCTACCTCCCTTCAGTTCAAAAAGCCCAGAAGAATTTTATCTTCATCAAACCAATATAAGCTCATGTGAAAAATGCATGCCTGAGAAAACAGAAAATGGAATCCATTATCACATCTGCAATGTTCAGTGGGGTTTCCTTTCAGCCTGGGCCTCAACCTGGGAATTCACTTTGATTTTAACTCCAGTTGAAGGGGTTGATAAGTACCCAAACTTCAGAAGAACTCTTGGGAAGCTGTCCTGCTACTAATGGCAATTAAAACCGCTTGCTAAGTAAAAGAGTGAGGTTTCACATTCCTTTCACAGATCTTTCTTTATACAGTTTTCCTGCATTTGTTTGTTTCTGGTTGTCTAATCACTCCATACCCCACCTTCATACGTATTTTTTTTTTTGTTTAATCCTCTCAACAGTTTTACACCAGTTTAGTTCATTATATATACTGGATTCTGAATTTATATCCACATAAGAGGAACTTCTGCTCCTTTAAAACAGAGCAGTGGAGTGAGAAATGCAACAGCAAGCAAGGAAGCTGTCAGTGGTGATACTACAGTTGTATTTTCACCTTAGTCATATTTATATGTTGCTTCAGAACTACAGAGCTTACTGGATATGCAAGGAGGGTAACTGTGAAAATTATTCACTTTGCTAATTTTTCAAGATAAATTCCTTCTCTTTTAGGTGTAACATTTGTCAGCTGAGTTTCCAAGTTGCAGAGCAACTTCTCCTAAAACTTTTTGCCATATTTTTCAAGATAAATTCCTTCTCTTTTAGGTCTAACGTTTATCAGCTGAGTTTCCAAGTTGCAACTTTTTGCCACGTGATGGGGAGTTATTGTTCATTAATTAACAAAGCATTCAGGGCTTGCCCAGAAAATTTAGCCATAGAGCTGATCAGAAATGCCATGCTGGATTGATGCAGTTCCATCCAGTGAATTCACAGGAGAGATTCCTTTAGCATGTGCTGCAACCACCTGACCTGATGCATTTCCAAGTATCTACATTGACTGCATGTGATGTTCACCTTGAGGTTTCATATACCTTCCCACAAGTCAATACAGGAGAAAACAACAAAGAAATTGAAGAAGATAAAACCTGTTCTCTGGAATTCACCAGAAATACTGATCTTAACCAGTGATATGTAAGTCACAAGTATGACAGTAATGCCTTTGATAACACTGCCAAATTCTGTTATCTGACAAAAATATCTACAAACATTAACAGCCCAGGGTCATTTGCTGTGAACTCCTTCAGAGCAGTTCCTCCCTCCCTCCTTCCCTCCCCAGCAAACACATAGTAATTCCTACTACTGCAGGTACTGCTGGCAAGGATGTGACAATTCCTCTGTAACAGAACTTACTTTGGGTTCTTGGGGTTTTGGGAGTGATCGGTGGTGGGCTTCGAGGCATTGATTGCTGGAGTGAAGAACTCTGAAGCAAAGTCATTCTGTTGTCTCCTAATTGAAGACTCTTTGGTCTTTGTGCTTTTCCTGACATGCCCTGGTTGAAACAAAGAGTAAACAAAACCTTTAGAAGTCAGCAAGGTTGCTGCACACGTATCAGATAATCAGACCTGTCACAAAGGCATCAACACGCTCCAGAAAAGCCATGCATGAGACAGAGAGGTGCATTCAGGTGAAACTAAGAGTGAAACCACTGCACTGGCTCAGCCGTGTCAAAAGGCATATGCTGTGCTCCTGTGACACATTCAGTTTTCTGTGGGACCTTACTAACTGGGTAGCACTGGTAAACTGTTTTTAACAACCTTAGTGCACTAACTAAGAGAAGATGTCAAGCTGAAAAACTGCTGCATTTGACTAGCAGTTCTGTGAACAAACTGGGGGGGGGAAAGTCTTTCCAAAAAGAAGAAAAGATGACATTCTGAGTGCAGGTCAGGACTGCCAGTATCATCCAGCTCCTTAGGGCTGTGGAACAAGTCTATTTCAGGCTTTACAGAGCAAATCCCTTCCATCCTGCACTCAGGAGATGTTGTTCCAGTTCCTTCCAGTGTCACACGTGTCCTCTGTGCTCTTCACTCAAATCATGAGGCCATCCCAATATGGTCCCAGGAGTCCAGTGTATGAATATTACAGTCTTTTTAAATATCAGCTTATTGCTTTACTGGGAAGGCTGTCACTTACACACGTAATTAAACCCACGAGGCTCTTCTAGAGATCAGTTCTCCATCATTGAGCAGTTCAGTATTTCTCACTGCACAGAGGGGACCACACACTGGTGTACAGTGAATATAAAACTTACAAAGACCAAAGCTGCTGGACACACAGCAAGCCTCTGGTTCCCTCTGGCTTTCTAGCTCCCAAGCAGCTTAGTCAAGAGCTGCATAAAAATCAGTCTGTCCAAGTCTTGTGCTGCACTATGCAGCTATGGAACAGACCAGCTATAAAACCCAGCTTTCTCTGTACTTTGCGATGTTCTGAGGCATCAATACAACCCTTAACTGCTCGTTCACTTCCATGAGCTGATCACACGTGGAATTTGTCCTCAGAGGCAGAGGGAAGAGGGGAGGGTGGGTGTTCTGTTTTGCATCTCTCAGCTCTCTGCAATGGGAAGTGTTGGACAGACATGCCTTCCTGTCCTAGCGAACTGGTCGATATAAACAGCCCTTCTCCCAACCTTTTCCCTCTTTTACTTAATAAAGCGATCAGCAGCTGACATCACAGTTTGTGGGTTAAACCCACTTAATTCTTCCAGAGGCAGAGGGCCAGGCCTCCTGAACCACTGATATTTACAATCCCAGATTTTCCTCTTGAGTGGGAAGCCTGTCAATACCGAATGACACGATTCTAGAACCACAGCTCCCCTTCTCATACATATTCTGCAGACTCCAAGTGCTGGCAGCATCACTCGGATTTGATGAGAATTCCTGAATATATAGCAGCATAACCTGTTCCTGCCAGATTCAGTTGAGGTCTTGGGAGGGAAAAGGAAATAGAAGAACTCATGTTTTCTTGTTATTTACGCAGCCTGTGTTAAGTCAAATTACTATCACTGAGCCGCCGGCTTAAATACTCAGATGCCCAATTCTTGCATACTCTCCGACGGTGTAACATAGGCTTAGCGTAAATCAGGATGATACTCCAAGGTCATACAACTCTACTTTTGGGTTGAAACATATCCATTTGTATGAGGTGATCACGCTGAATCCCACTGTCAGCTTGAATGCCTAACAGTCTCTGATATGCTCCTCGTTACAACACTCCTGTGGGGGTACAGATTCTCTTATCCCTCTTCTGCAAACAATTTGCTCAAGGATTAAACACTCCTGCCCTCACACAGGAGGTCTGCAGCAGAGCACAGACTGGAAGAACCAGTTTTTTAGAGTCCCAAGCTGGCAACCTAACTGTCAAATCATCTTCTTTCAACTCCCCAATCTACCAAACTGATCTTCACCTTGCAGTACCTTTGATTTGTGCAGTGATGCTGACTGATAGCAGCTGAACATCTGGCTTGCCAGCTGGATTTTTGAGTGGGCTTGCAGTGTCTACTTGCTCCAACAAAAACAGAGCAGTTCTACATTGTGCTGAGTGCACCACAGTCCTCCACTCTGACAAGAAACAAGGGCACTGAGCACCTAGATGAAACATCAGTGCCTCGTGCTTCCAGTTTGTACCTCAGGCCAAACTGCAGTTTGGTCTGTGACACAAGTTTTCCAAATAAAAAAGTCAGAATTACTCAGATGACAAAGGCTTTTGGTATTTGAACCCCTCCCACTATTTAATGAAGTTCCCAATGACATGCATGGCTGAAAACAACGGAAACACTAAAATCTCCTGCTGCGAATTTTATTATTGCTCTTATTATTTTATTATTTTTTTTTACCATTTTGGAAGTCAGTTCTGTTTCTGGCTCCTTCTCTACAATAACCTGAGACTTGCTAACACTCCAGTCCTTCCGCTTGAGTTTGCTAATCCGGTTATCACCATCATCTTTCATGGGCAGCTCCTCAGCTCTGGAAGCTGTTGATATTCTTCTTTCCAAGAGAGGCTCCAGAATAGATCTGTGGCCCACATCAAAAGAGTGAAAAAACATGAAACGTTAGTCCATCAGACATTTAAAGCACTGTCTGTTAAAAAGCTGTGATCTCCCAGTTTGCATAAGAGATTACAGTGAAAAACTGAGTTATGACCATAGAACTTTCAGTAACACTCGTGCTCTTGAGTTACATCAGCAAGTTTGAGTGTTATGTCTTATGTACAAGACAAAGTGTGATCTACTTCCAGAGGGAGCCAGACCTGCATTTTATGCTGAACCCTGCCACCAGGTCTGCTGTGTGACCTGGAGCAAGTCACCTAGACTCCCTGGTTATCACAGATGCAAACCAGATGTACAGAGGAGTAACATCAGGAAACGTTTCCATGTGTGGCAGCTCCTTTTAATGCCGTGTAGGCAGCTGCAAACAGGTAGGTGGAACAAGCATCCTATGACTATGCACCTCTTTGCAGACCACATCAAACTAAATTACCTTGTAGTATCTCACACCCCTGTTTTCCAGAGTTCCTCGGAAACAGACACAGTTTGCACCTGAAACACACTGCCTCTGTCCCTCTTCAGTATCATGTGGACAATTGGGAGTCCAGACACAGAGAGTGGTGGGTTCAGTTCCCAGAACTCTACCTACCTGTGCTTCAAACTCTCTGTCTGTAAAATGGAATAACAACATTGGCCTCCATTTAAAGTTTTAAATGTGTAGGTATTACTATTCTGCATGGAACAAATCTTCATTTTAGGAGTAACTAATTCTGGCAAAAGGCATATCCCCACTCCTGTAAATCCCATGTAAAGACTGATTACTAACCCATCCGAACCCGGTCTGGAGGAAGTGCTGTCAGACGAGGTGGAAGATGTAGAGACCACAGAAGATGCCACAGATGTGATAGAGAGCCGTCGCAGCGTGGAAGACATGATATAGGGCAACACGACAGAGCCTGACCTGCTGGGTTTCCTTTCGGTGAGGGAAGGAGGCTGCAGACAGATACACTGGTGACAAATCACGTACCACTGACCCCCAAGTGGGAAAGGGGAGGGTTGTGTGTGTTTAAGGCAAAACACTAAACGACCAGCTATGCTTACCAAAGTTATTACACCATACTGCTTCTCCACTTTCTTCTTCAGCTCTTTGAAACAGGCTGTCAGTCTGTCATGTAGAGGCTTCAGCTGTTCTGTCAGCTTCTCACCATGGATCCTGATCCCTTCTGCCAATAATGGCATCTGAAAGGAGGAACAAAATTAAGCTACAAAGGACAAATCAGTTCTCCTGTTCCAGGAAGGAATTTTCTATGCATGTTACACATCTCGGATACAATCAAAGGACTTAAAGCAATGTGTTTTAAGCTTGCAGAGGCAAAAAAAAGCCATCACACAGTACAGAAGCTCAGCTACCCCCTCATAACTTGTGACACTGTAGTGACACTGTAGTAACTTAACCATTTGTTTGAACTTCATGTGTTCAAGAAACATGAACACTGTCCCCACCTATACTTATGGTTTCCTCTTCCCTACTCAGATTGTATATTCTGCTCTGGAAAACACAGCACATTAAATGTTGGAGAACCACTTCTTAGCCCCTCAAAGCTGTATGTGTGAGGTAGCTTTAACTGGGCTCTGTTGTATGGAAATACGTCAAAACTGGTCTGCAGGGATGCACTTTGCATTACAGAAGAAATACAGCAATTTTTCATTGCTATGCAGGTCAAAATAGACAACTTCCAATGGTTAGGCTGACAAAACATTAGGTCTGATGATTTCATGAAAAGGTATCAGACATTTTGTTATAGTCGTGAGGGAAAAATCTATGCCACATTGGCAAATATTCCAGAATAACACAGGAAGCACTACGAGGTACATGGAACAGCCTAGGCCACAATTTTAGAATAGGACAGTTTTCTCAAAATAAGAAACAACTGTATGAACATCCAGATTGTTCTTATAGTATTTATCTGCATTATCTTTCCAAAACAATGATGCTGGAAAAACCACCTGCACTTGCACATAGCGCTTCCCAGTCTTTCCCAATAGGATACCTGTAGAGCAATCAGTTGCTTAAGCAGTTCTATTTTATCTTGATCTTCAGGATGTTCTTGAAGATACTTCTCTGTGAAAAAGGCCTGAAAGCAAAGAGAAAAGATGAAATAGATATTACGTTGCTTTCACAGCTGAGTGGAAGATCCCTGCTCTTTAAGAGCAATTAATTAGCGTTATTCCTAATAGCGAAGTTTGGTTTTAATATCTCCCTGACACAAAGAACCATTTGTTGAGAACTGGGAAGATGAGAGACTTGTTTTGTAAAAAAAAAAAACCACCTCAAATTTATCATTTTTTTCAGTGAACACTGATATGTAAAGAAAGTTACTTCATTGGAAATGTTTTCTTCAATTCCAGTATCGATTTGAGTAACAAAGGTTACGTTACTTGTCACTCCAACACCAGAAGCAGATCCAGCCTCTGAGTTCTCACTTCCAAAAGCCTCTCTCACTTCGAGCATCCAGTGACCCACAGCACACAGTGACTGGCAAACCATTCCAGCTGCCGAGGTGAACAGGGCATCTCCTGCCTGCCATCTCCTTAAGCCCTGCGACTGAAGCCCTTAAGTACAACGTTTTCACTTGGGGCTTGTTAGAAAGATTCAGTAGAAATAAAGACTGTGTTGAGAGTTTGACTTGTGGTTTGATTCAACAAAGCACCTTTAGTCTACACTTCTTACGTGTTTACCTTTAATAAACAGAATCTGGTATCAGTTTAAAGTTGAACAAACAAAAGTACACTTTTCCTGGACTGAAGCCTTAAAATTGTGCCAACTCACATTACTTGCTACAGTGTTTTGCATTGAAATGTATCACAATTCCAGAAGAATTTCATTTTTCTTTTTCCTAGATAAAACCCCTAATAATTTTTCATTTGGTTTTAAAACACGTCTCTGACCTACTTCAGCCTCTGCATATATTTCTTAGCTCTGCGTTCCATTAACTGGGCTGTATGTGCAAGTGTTTATAGGCTTAGTGGTATGACTCTGGAAAAGGCTGATGTCAAGAGGAGGTTAGCCTGGGAAAGGACTGCTGGGTGGGTCCCAGCGGATTTTTCTTGAAAGTGTTTAATTATTACAAGAAGAAAGCGCATGTTAAAAACGCAGACTTTGGCTTTTGGCTACAATGAAACAATTAAAACTCAAGATTTTAGCCGCCCCCAAAAGCCAAATGTTCTGTACTGATCTTCAGTTGAAATAGGAAAATATGAACCAGAAATGAGTATTTCCAGATGTGGTTACAGATACTTCGTGTTTCCTAGTTTTAACTGCTTTCCCACTTTCGTAATTCTAAACTTTATGTCAACCTTAATTCATGAAATGAGCGGATTTAGGGCCAAACTGAGCCCTGGCAAAGTGTGCAACTCCTCTGGAATCAGCAGTTAGACCCCAGATAAATCAGACTCTCTCCCATTTAACTTTTGCACTTCATTTCACGTGACTGGAACGCATCTGAGAAGAATTAAACATGTTTTAACACCATCCATTCAGTTTATGGAAATAAGCAATATATTTTGTGCTGGGAATACCATCATTAGATACTGGGAATAAACAGCTTAAGTAAAACATCACCAAAAAGGAAGAACGTACACTATTCAACTGAAGTCAACTGAATAAACCTGGATAGGAAATACTGCTTTTTTTTCCTGAAATATATGCTCTCTGCTGCAAGACTCCAAAGACAGATTATCTGCTGGAAAGAGAAATCTTAAATTTACCTTACCATTCCATACTAATGGTAAGGTATGGGCCGACCGAGCAGCTCCAAAGACAGATTATCTGCTGGAAAGAGAAGTCTTAAATTTACCTTACCATTCCATACTAATACAACGGAGAAACGATGGCTCTTTTACTTTTCTTTGCTACCTGCACCATTCGTTGGACTGACCGAGAACCTCAATGCCCCCACGAGATATGCCCCCATGTTATTACCACCACTGCAAATGAGGCTCAAAAGAGGTGGATCATTCTTCTCTGTGGCAGTGCAGAGCACTAAAACTAAACACTAAAGATGTGGGGGTTTTCCAGCTTGCAGGAAATCTCTTCTTTTTGTTCTCTTCTTGTCATCTTTGAGCTCTGAACACACAGATAGAGCTACAGAACGCACTATGTCTGAGTAATAGCTGAAAACTGAACATGGATCAATCATGGTCAATCTAGGTCTTCAATCTTGCAGGGGTCAACAAACTGAGATATAGACAAACGTGAAAAAGACCTTTTCGTAGTTGGTATATCCTCCCATGACTGCTGGGTCCACAATCCCATTCAGGAGCATAGAGAGAGGATGTACAGGAAGACTCCGGTCCCAGACGTGCTGTTGGACAATGTTGCTGATCTTCTCATTGGTTAGCTCCATCGTTTCTATGGCGTTCTCCAAGGGGCTGATCTCCTCCTGAAGGAAAGAAGAAACAGAATAAAGCTTCATTCGTCTCCGCTGAATATGTAAGTTAAGCAACTCCTCGTATCTGAATGGCAGCCCAATAGTCTCCAGCAGAGGATTTTGGACTCCCTGTGCTAACTATCTTGCAATTCAGAGATGAACACAAGAGTGATCTTATACCTGAACCTGAAGGAACAACAGTTTAGGACTCAGCTGCTGACTGTGGATTATGTTACAGAAGTAACCACTCCCCAAGCATTATACAGTCAATGCAGAATTTTGCTGCCTTGGGTAGAGCTACCTGCAGAATGGCATAAAAAGACAAGCTCTTCAAAGAAGATACACATTTGCTTTTATCAGAAGCAGAAGTTACTGGTGTGCCACATCCAACAGTGGAAGGACTAGCAGTCCTGACTGTTGCGAGACTTTACTTGATGAAAGATTGGAGGGGATGAGACCCAGCCCACACGCAGATCTCACCGTCGTAATCTGTTTGACTTCAAACCACTTGAGGATGCCTGGAAATGAATATGCTGTCGTGTAGGTTGTCCTTTCTATCCACATATTCTAGTTAGAGAAGAAGAAAATTCCAATAAGTAAGGGAAACATTGGTCTTGCAATTCAATTATCTTCTGTGGTAGAGCATGGAACCAGGCTTCCAGCACTAGCTGGCAGAACTTACACAATGATTTTCACCTCCACTAATTGGGATAGAACCCAGTGTTTTTGGTAAGAAACACCACCTCTACTATTTAAACGGTACCAACATTAGCAGCAGTAGGCTGTTACCCTCCACGTTGACCAGTATTAGCAGGACTGTGAAGACAGCACATTTAGCCAGAGTGAAATGCAACAAGCCCAACCACTACACATGAGCAACAGAACACCTTATGGGCAGCAAGGAAACATGCTATCACAGCACACCCAAGGCTCGGTCTCCACTGCAAATCTTAAAAGTTGTCCTGAAGTTGAACTGATCCTTCATGGTTACAGGCTGGCCTCCTTAAGGATGGCTACAGCACCCACAATCTACCAGACACAACTGTACTCTGTAGGAAGCTGCAAGTTAGCACAGTATTTATGGATTCTAGATCAAGGACTTCAAACATTACAACCTGAGCTATGGAGCCCCTTAACATTAGCACGTTGGCTTTATGTCCCTGCCCATGGCAGAGGTGTTGGGACTAGATGATCTTTGAGGTCCCTTCCAACCCAAACCATTCTATGATTCTATGTAAAGATTGCAATGTGAAGTCCAGCCTTTTGTTTCTCCTACATTTTAACAGCAAAACTTCCTTGCCACGAGTGGAGGGAAAAAAAATTATGACAGCGTTGTTCAAAATGCCACCAGCAAAACAAACAAACGCACAGAAGCACTTTCTCACAGCACAGACACCCATGCCAACTGGCACCAAAAGCAAAGGACTCACAGCAAACTCGTTGTCTGGATCTTTCTCTCCTTTCCTGACTGGTCGGGAGTGCGTGAACTGCTGTACCTCGTTTGCTCTGTAGTAGCTGGAAAGAAGCAGGGTAAATGGTGAGTATTCTCACCTTCCATCCTCCTTACAGAAACATTCTTCTGTTTCCTCTCAAAACCAACCAGGTTTAAACAAGACTGTGAAATAAATTCACACAAGACACAAAGGCACTCCATCTTGTGCCTAGGCTACTTGAGAAAAACACAGAGGAAAGGTTGAAGGAAAAGAAATTACTTTAAGATCTGTTCAGGAACAGGTTTATCTCTATAATTAGGTGGCAGGTTCATCACAGGCTTCACAATAAAGCATTGCACATCTGAGCAGCTATAGTTAAGGATGGAAAACTATGAATTCTTTTGGGAAAACAGGAGAGGGAAAGAAATGCCCTTCCTGTTTTCATCAAATGTCAGACTTCTCAACAATTCCCTGTGCTCTTGTCATGTTTTGAAGAAAAATACTAGTTCATCAACCATCACAGGCATTATATTGCTTCTTGTTGTTTGTATGCTACTCGTGAACTAAAAGCCCGAAAAGGTAAGGGCTGTGCAAATATTCCCAACTATTGAAATTCCCTGGTGAAATGCTTGGGAAGCCTGGGTGCTACTGATTTCTACTTTGGGGAGAGGAAAACAAGGTTCTGTACTAGGTTCTGTAACGGATGCATCTGTCTCCCCTCTCTGCCATCACCCCATGATTATTTGTCGGATTCTTCCACTGCAGTGAAGCTGCCCCTCCTTCTGAATCAAGTAGGCTGTTTTTAATCAGTGAACATCTACTTCATCTTTAGCTTCTGCACCTCTGAATCATGATAGAAATTTTAAAAAAAGTTAGTTATTACTATTCCCAAGCACAACAGCTTACAAGGTTGTTCCTCCAGAGCTCTGCTTTAAGACTGAAGTAAAAACCTGCATGGAAAAGTAAAGCACAAACAATTTGACCCACATTAATAGATTATTTCTGTGAAGCACCTGCCAATTGCACTCTGCAGTGGCAACGTTTTACTGGAGGGTAGGGTAGCCCCATACCTCCTTTATTTCACTGAGGGTAGTTCTCAGCAGTATTTTGAAAGCAAAGGCAAGGTCATTCTCCCTGCATTGAGAAGCCAGCTGGATACCAGCCAAATCTGAACCCAAAACCGCAGAGCCACATCAGATCAAGCTCTGAGCCCAAGCTAATATATTCTTTCTCTCAGGAGAGCTTATTAGCTTGGGCTTCACGCCATGCTAAGCATGCTATACAGCTTCTAGTTCAGAACTGGTGCAAGGCTAGTCTGTTTAGGTGTGCAGGCATTCCCTGAGACTGCACAGCTCACCTGGTATCTCCACTCCAGTACACTATTATGAAACAACCAAAGGAAGAGCAGGGAAGTAAAGTAAAAAAGAGCCTGAGACAAAGGAGGTTATAAAAGCATGAAGTTAAACTACAGAACCATCAAGCTCTGCCTAACACAACAGTGATCTGGGCACTCAAACTCCTCATCTTTTCAAAAGGTGTTTGTCAGAGTCCGAGAAGAACCTGTACCAAATCCAAGCTATGCAGCTGCTCCCCTTTACAGCGGGGCTATGCCAAAGACCCGGAACCAAACACCCCCAAACTTTTGGAAGAGTTCAGATCTGGATCCAAATTTTGCAGTTCAGGTTCATCTTGAGCCAAAAACATTAGAACAAACACAAACAGATGCAAAGGAAGCAGCTGAAACAAAGCAGCAATAGAAGAGCCATTTTTTGATACCAAGTTTGGTCTTGAATGAATTTTAATTTCCTATGTGGATTTAGTGCTTGGCAGGCTTATTGCAAGGGAAGCATCTGGTATCACTGCTTGAGTTGTGCCTTTGTACACAGGCTTTTAAGGCCAAAATGGACCATCAGATTCTCTAGTCTGGCCTGTATAACGCAGGCTAGAAGCCCAGTAACTTGGTTTTTACTGATGTACATCTTCCAGGAGCACATCTGCTATTGACTGGAAGTCACAAACAAGAATCTGAAGCATCTTCACTGGGTTGCACTTGGTCATGCTCATGATTAAGAGAAAGAGGATCTCAAGCCTAGTAGTATGCCGTGGCATGCAGTTTGGAGTTCCACCACCACAAAATAGAACAAAAAAAGATAATAAAAAAAGAAGGTCTGTTCACCCAACATCGTTCATCAACATAATCACTTCACACGTCTTACAAAGTGACTTCTAGGGGAAAAAAAACCACCAAAACAGTCACTTCATAAAAGATGACTGCAAGCAAGAAAAGAGCATACTTCCACTTTACATCCCACTTCCACTGCCTGTGTTTTACATCTTTCTCCGAGAACTACCGAAGTGGATCACACCTGCACTACAGCAGTCAGCACCACCTGCTTGAGAAGGCAGTACAAGAAATCCAGACCTGCAATCTGTTCAGGTTTCAACCTAACAGCGACTCGTTTAACTCTGACAATTTCAAGCTGTCTTTTTCAATAACTTTAAGTTCACTACTGCAATTCTGGATAGTCTTATTTTCATGCCCAGTGCCTGTCTTCAAATGTCTCCCTGGAGCAGTAAGTCCCTTGCTTGTTATTATTCTTGTTTACTCGTGTTATTCTAGGAAAGAGGCAGATCTTGAACGTGCCAAAACGTATTAGAACCAAAAGATACACTGTTTAGGAGAAGACTTGATCTCCTCTCCTGGAGGGGCAGTGCTGGTCATCTTCTCAGCACTAGGAAACTGGGTCAAGAGCTTCAGGTTGAAGTCCTCCCTTCGTTCATACTCTTTGCCACGGTAGATAAAAATTTTATTCTGTGGGTAGCAGAAGAAAAAGAGAATTAACATTAAACAAAGCAATGAGAAAGAGCTTTCCAAATATACACAGAATAGTCTCAGAGATCTAACTCATGTGAGGGGTTGTCTCCTAGCTCAGTAGTCAAAACACGTGAGAGAAGAAAGAGGCTGGAGTGAGAACACAGCAACTCTCAAGAGCGAGGCCCTGCAACAGCAACCTCCTATTTGTCTACAAAATTCATTGTTCCACACACAAGCGTTATTGAACATGTTCATGTTTTCCAGCACTCTAAGAACTCACACATTCAACACACGAAATCTCAGTCAGGGGACTGATTTTAAGCAAGAGAACATCTGTGCCAAAAAGTTCTCTGATGCAGGGAACTGCTCGCTCCTTGCCAGCCCATCAGCAACTGAGGGATGTCCCTATGCACAAAGACACAAGTTTTACCTCCGTTCCACTCCTGACTCTCTTCAGCTGCCGTTAACAAACCAGCCAACTACGGCAGCTTTGTACTACAGACTTAACATGAGACCATGGCCAATTATTTTTTCCAAACTGGCCACCAAGCAGTGGTGGTTTCTGGAAGGGACGGATTGAAAAACACGACCTGGAGGTGAAAGCCTTCTATGCCATCCAGTTACACAGTTCTAAGTTAACATTTTTCTTTTTTATTAAACTTGGCTTCCATTTAAGGCCAGCAACTTCAAACAACTCCAGTCTGAAAACGTAAATGTTCCTTAATTTTAAATAATAGTCAGGAATGTTTTCTAGTGTGCTGCACCCTGCCCATCTGACTCACTTTGGCTAGATTCTCGTATTATAGCTAGCATAGATCCAGCAATGCTTAGCAGCAATCCCAAACAGGAAGCATCTTTGCATTTTAATTCTTCTGCGTGGGACAGACTCTCACTAACGTGCTTGAGCACTGAAACGATCCATGTCCTGAAAATTAGGTTGATTCAGGCTGAAAAGCAACGGGATAAATTCTTTACAAGCTAAACATTTTCTAACAGCAACAATTATGTTTCTGAAGAAGTGTACAGGGCACAAATACAAAAGGTAGATTCTGTTTAACTCCATGTAAGAACATCTAACAAACCCTACTGCAACACTAACTTCACTGAAGATAGTAACAAAAAAATCTGGTTTCTTACTTGTTTCTTTTTATACTCTGAAATACTTTCAAATCCTTAAGAGATTTAGATCTCTCAGTGTCATTCAAAGGAAAAGGAGTTTAGCATTTGAATTTTCTTGGAAGCTCTGCAAAAGTTGTGACTTTTAAGGTACCCACCACTTCAAAACTTGAATGCTGAAGAATTCTTACCCTGAGAAAAGAGGGGAAACCCTGACCATAGTATCCAACAGCAAAGTACTCTGCTTGAGGTCTCATTGCCTTCATAATATTCTCATAAAAAGTAGCTCGTTTTTTCTGAAAAAGAAAAAGTCACCAGCATTTTCACTTTGCAGTATTCAAGGACACTGCCAGACTGTATCTCACATTCCCAGTGACAATTCCTGATCTGTTAGTCTCCCCTACAGAATATTTTACAATTATTTTTTTTTTTTCGATACAGTATCTCATCCTTATCCATTTACTTGGTTAAATATTTGGTTTGTCTGGGCCAGAATCAACTTCATTTCCTGGTCTGCAGACATGAGAACAATGCCATGTTTTTTAGGATTCCAGAAGGATACTTGAAATCCTTAACTATTGCAACACAAATTGAAAATAAATATGTTCTGAAACTGAGCAGACAAATGGTGACAAATGTCAGAGAACTGGCAAAATAAAACTGGGCAGATGATTCTCATATGAAAGAACATAAAGACCATCTGGTTACATCCTTAACCACTAAAAAACATAATTCAGAACCAAGATGATTCTACAGTTCTGTGTTCATACACAGTAGTTTTACCACAGAAATAACAAGGTGATGAGATTTATGGAGCCTGAAAATATACCACGCCAAATGTTACCTTATTTGATTAACACCAAGAATGCTAAACATCTGCACACAATATTGTCATGCTAATTACAAGGTCAAACCCACACACTTTAAGGAAAATTATGAAAACATTCTTCTAACATTAAGCTTTACAAAACCATGGGGGTTACGTCGATTTGTTTGCCTTTAACATAAATGTACTTTGGGCTTATCCTGCTCAACAATATTAATTTAAGCAGTCAGCAGCCTGCTGAAAATGGAGAAAAAGAAATCTTACCAGGAGATTACCAAGTCCCTCATAATCAAAGACCTTGTTTTCATACATGTCAGCCAACTCTTTGCTTAGCTGAATGGCTTTTTCCCACATCTCCATGGAGGGTGAAGGGAGGCAGGTGGGGGAAGAAGAGCACAAGTGAAATAAAAGACTCAGTTAAAAGCATTCATTACCACAGATAGGTAAACAAAAAATTCAGCTGATTTTAATTCAAGCAGTACTTTAATGCACTGCCAACTTTCCCTTAGACTCCACGCTGTACATTTTTTGCAATAATTATTATAGTCACACAGCTCTTTTGATTTGTAGATCTGAAAGCAATTTACAAAGTAAGGTTTCTATTGTTCCTCTTGATAGGGAAAACTGAGGCACAAAGAGGTGGAAGAACATGTTTAAACAAAGGAGAGAAGGCCAGGTGGTCTCCTCCTACACTAACACTTCATCCTCTGCATCAGGCTGGGTTTGTCTCATTCAGCCCTGGTAGAACCATCCATCCAAAGCCCAACTAACACAAGTTCAGTTTCAGCCAGACAGAGCCCCACTCACTGCAACGCAAAAACCTGACCAAAGCCCTGACCCAGAAAAAGAAACCACAACACCCATAGTTTTCTCATCTACCCAGTATCTTGAACAACGTTAATTTTTCAGATGCTCTTCGACTGACAAGGAAATAGAAGGATCCAAGAACCACCAGGACAAACACATGCCCTGCCCGTGCCAGTGCTGTGGTCCCTATTACAAAGCCAGACCCAAGCATCAAAGCCCTGTTAGGGAACCATGGCTGCTTTTACCCTTGAAACCAGCTCCAGTCCCCAAGCCAAGTGGTTCCCAGTGCAGAGACACTCACTTTGCCCCTGTCAAAGAAGGAGATGATTTCTTGGTAGAGTTTTTCCTTGAGTTCCTGTTGTGAGTAGACATAGTAGCTGTCCCTCTGCAGGAGGTGAGGGACACAGGGCTTCTCCGACCACTAGTAAAGAGGGAAAAAAGGCAAAGTTGAAGGAACTGGAACATTTTCAGATGAAGAAATCCTTAACAGTGGATAGATTCGACTTCTGCAGGGATGTGTTCAAGACAAATCCATCATTAATACAAAGGGAGAGCAAGGAAGCTTTGCAGTGATATAAGCTGAGCTGGCTGACGACTGTAAACGAGGAATGCAGACAAAAACACTGCATCTCAGCAGCACTGTGAGAATAACAAGTAGCCAGTAAGCTGTAACTTCTTAAACCACTCCAGCCAGCTGCTCAGAAAAAATCTGATTATGCTCTCCCACTACACACATAAGCAGACAGAAAGCTTCAATTATATGCAATTTATTTCGACATTAAAATTTCATTTTAAATCAGTTTAAGAATTCATCTGGACTTCCTAGAATTTTTTAGTCATATTTAAAAATCACTTTAGAATGTTAATACGAGTTTAATTATATTTGCAAAACTGGTGTGATTTTGGCTTAAGGTCTTATGCTGAGACACTAACTGAATGTGTATGCTTTATTAATCTGTGCAGGACAGGAAGAGGTTGATTTAAATCCAAATTAAGATGGCTTAGGCTAATGCATTTTACACTACTCACACAGAAGTAGAAAAAACTGTACCATGACCCTGAACACGGACATTTTCTCCCAGCTCACTATAGCACTCTGTTTCACCAAGAGTATGTAACAAAACAATGCTAATAATATTTTTGCTTTCATTCATTTAGCTGCTGTGCAATTTGCAAAATCATGAAGCTCCTTAATGACCACTAGAACCTAGGTGATGCAAAGTCACATTAAAAAAAAAAGAACAAAGTGAATTATTCTGAGCTGTTTGTCCTGCATTTAAAACTTATACCTTGACAGTAGAAATGGAAATTGGCTTTAGTATAATACCTGGAGCAGTTCTGCATGGAGGAGGAGAGTGTATGCTGCCTCTGTGAAGTTCTCACAGTCTATGTGCAGGTCCCGGAGCTTATATAGATACCTAAATAAATGAAAAGCAATTGGTACTTGAAGTGAAGGGCTCCTCTATCAGTGTACAGAACACCCAGAGAAATAAAGGATTCATCCGCAGAGGTTTACGGAGGGGAACAGCCTACCTGATATAAATGTCCTCTCGTTTCTTCTCCTTATAAAAATTCTGCCAAGAATAGAAAAAAGTCAAATTTTTAAGATGGACTGCATCATAGATCTGCACAATCATCTCTAGACAAGTAACTTAACCATCAGTTTCAGATATTACCAAGATCTTTGCTGTCATTTTGACTACTTAGGTGCACATACCTCTGCAGCCATCCCTTTAAAGTGCAGCTACTATCACCTCTAGGAAAGGGTTAAGTCAAAGAAACACTTGTCCAAAGTTACACAGGCTCTTTGCAGTGGAACAGGGACTTAAGCCCACATTTCCCAAACTATCAGCTGGCCATCCTTCCTGCCTGTGTTCCAGATTACCATACAGACAAGGACCAGCCATGTGACTTCGTTTTGGACTGCACATCTTTTTACCTTTTCTAGCTGATAGCCTGATTTGGGCCCATCATTAACCAGAAATGGCATAAAGAATTACTTAAAATCCTACCAAAAAAAATCCTTCAGAATCCACAAAAGCCAGGTTGGTAAAGAAGCACCCATATCCCAATCCAGCCTCCCCATACCAGCACATTGACAGTGCAGCTCATGCGGTTCTCCTTGCTTTCATCATGCATGATCGTCCGGTAGTCCAGCAGGTTCTCTAGCAGGCTGCTGACCAGCAGAGTAAACACCTCCCCAGAAGCAGACAGGTACTTGTGCTTCCGACAGTGCTCCAGGAGGCTGCAGGAATACCCAGAGAGACAGAAGGGAACACTCAGCCACAGTTCTCAGCGGTGGTGAGTAAACTCCAGTGTAAATTACTCAAACAGCTGATCAAAAACTCGTGTGCCACACTTGGTGCTAAAAGGCAGCTCTGATTTTGCTTTAACTCTGAGCCTGCTGTTCTCAAGCTGTTCCACCTGCCAGTTTGGCACCTGCCTCCATGCTTTCATCTCCAAGTTTAGGGCAGTTGTGCAATTTGCTGCTCCAGAATAACAGCATCATTTTAAGGCAATCGGTCTCAGAACACCTGTACAGTATTAAGATCGCTGTCAACTGCGCTGTCTCCCTGTTCACTGGAGTGATGAATTCGAGTTTCTTTGCATTAGAAAAAGAGCCAACTAAGCTGTTGAAAAGAGCCTCTATGTTCTTTACAAAACTTACAGTTTCTCCAGCAAAATCTTGTACTGTTCGTCCCCTCGGCCACCCTCCACTTCCTGGTCCAGCTTTGTTATCAACTCATTTTCAAACTGAAAATGCAAAAACCCACAATGAATAGACAGCAACTCTCAAGACTGTGGTCTGAACATCAGTAATGTTTGAGGCTGGTGTTTCTGAACTGCCCCGCCGTCAGACACTGATTTTACGAGCCAAGCTAGAGGACACTTTCATTGTTAGAGGAGAATAAAAATTATAAGAAGCCAAAACGACAAGATTGGAGCAAGGAAATGTAAGTCCTCTCTCTTTCATCCTACAGTCACTGGAAAGTCATGCTCTGGGGTGATTCTTTCCCTTCTCCCTCATCTGTTAGCAGTTCAGTTTTTCTAGGATGGAGAAGCATTCTAGAAGTCAGCTTACAAAAACGTCATTCACTCACCCTAAAAAAACTGAACTACTACCATCAGTTAAGGGCAAGTCACAACTCTCTGGCCATCATAAACACTTCTGACTACTAATTAAAGCAAGTTCTGCTGACACAAGAATCAAATCCTGTGTGATTATCTGTCTAGCCATGAAGATACGCCCTGTTACGTGCAAGCAGGCCAAGTACACGGTTTCAGTTATAACTGCAGCTAGTATATAAATACCACTGGAATGGAAAATCCATGCCATACACATCTGCTTCCTTCCACCAATTCCGAAGACCCCTGAGACCCTGGGGCCAACCACACTAAAGACTGATGACCTCAAGGGAAGAAAGATCCCATATGCACACTGAAGCTGGGGTCTAACCTGGTGTGAGGACGGTGCTTAGGGAGATGCACATCACATTTGACAACAGTCTGAAATGCCAAGGTGGCTGCCTTTTGGATGGATGGCTCCTACCCATCTCCAGGGAGAAGACTGTCTACAGTATAGCTACAGTGTCCCCTGCCTGCCAGTTGAGATGTTAATGCCTGATATCCCCAGAGGAAAGTTGGAAGAATAAGTCCTTAGAAACTGCAGTGAAAACTTAACCTCAGGGCAAAAGCAAAGCTCCTCTTTTTACTTCCTTACTTTCTGGTGCTTTCTCAGTAGCAATAAATGGTAACTTTTGGAGAAATTAGCACAGGGTTGGAATCCAGGGATCCGGGTCGTGTTCCCTGCTCTGTCCTTGTGTAGCCTCAAGCAAATCGTGTCTGTCCTTTCTATCACTGTTCTCCTTTCTGTAATGGTGGCATCAGTATTCACAAGCGTGTTATCAACGAAGTCAACGAGCCATTAGTCAGCACGTAAGAAACTACACAGTCCTAACACTTGACTGTCCAGTTATTTTCTTTATAGTAACCTACATTTACAGCCAAAGATCTGTCTTGGGGGAATTTATATTGTTGTTACAAAAGTAAAAAGATATTACTTTTTAGAATACTCGCTTAGGGTCTCCAAATTGCTTCACAATCTAGATGTGAGTATTCACACATCTGCAAATGCAGAAAGACAGGAAAACAGAGGAATTCATTGATTGTCAAAATCATGCAAACACTCAGTCAGGGACAGAACTGAAGAGTCCTGACTCCTACAGACCACAATAACTTCCCGAAGTGTCTGGCATAACGCTTAGTTTGCATGGTTTTTTTTTTGTCTGTTTTCTTTTTGTTTAAATGTTCTCTTCTTCTTCTTGCCCAATGGGCACTGTGGAACCTCTGTACTGAAGACACCAGGCTCCCTTACCTTGTGGAAGTTTCTGTTCTCACTGAAGTTAAACTCACACTGCATCATATCAAAGAAGATGGGAATGGTAGCTTTCCGTAGCTCAGGCTCTGGGACCAGAGTTACCTCCAGGATCGGGCCTACCATTGATGGAATGAATTTTTTTTTGTGGGGACCTGCAAAAAAAGTCAAAGTCAGATACATCCCAATGGCAGGATTTAGATGTCCAAATGTTTAAGCACATTATTCATATAAAGTAAAGACCGTAAAACACAGACATTTTGCTTAGAATGCATATTTTATGGGGATAATTGCTACTTAAGGTAGAATTAACATGTTACAGTTCCAAAATTCAGGAATAGTCCAAGAACAGAACAGAACTGAATTGCATGCAATGTCACAAATCACAAAGACTCTCTGTAAAATTCTACTCTTGTCCTTCATACAGCAGAATAACCTTTATAAGGAATCTAAGTAACTATCTCAGCAGCTGACGTGTGAATTAGCTTTTGCAAGCTATTCACAGAAAAAGAAAGAGATTTTGTGCTCTGAAACAGCTGACCCTTAAGTGTATTTCCCCACATTAAACATGAGCAATTTTTATAAAAAATAAAGAATTTGAAACCCAGCTTGAGAGTTTGAATAAAGATAATTCTTTAGCTGGAACTCACCCAGGTTATACCACATATCCCTTATTTTGAAGCCAATTTCTTTCCTCATGTCTCCATACCTAGAAAAAAAATATTAGAAAAAGATGAAAAAGGCCTACGCATTGAAATCACCTTTACAAAACTGCTGAAGAAATTTAATATCAAACCCACAAAATCTATTACCCTCTCCTTACAGAAAACACCCCACATAAAACAAACCCGGGCATTTCTACCAAGGGGTCTCACAGACTACCTTCCCTACTAAGGGTCTGCCAAGAAGTTCCTCAGGATTAAATATCCTTTTGTTAGATGTTCACCTCTTTTTTCTTCCTTACCCTGCCCAGCAGCAAAGCTCAATGCACACAGGAAGAGAATGGCCATGTGCCACTATGACAGAAGACTGCAGATTGCCTGAGAGCAGAATAAAGCTGCAGCCCTGCTGCTTCATGAAATTCTACCCAGAATTTTTGTTGTATTTGGTTTTTTTTCCTCCTAAAACTTTAACTGCTGACATTGAGAGAACACAGGAATACTTAATTACCAGGCTTCTTAAAGCTGTCATTATTGCAGAAAAAAGATGGCAAACAGTAACTATGTATGCCCTAACAAAATTCTATGTCAAGATCTACAAAGATATTTAGGCACAAGATTTCAGCTAAACATGGACGTAAAAGCTGCTCAGCATCTTTGTGAATTTGGCCAAGTTACTCAAAATTACTACTTTTCAGTTGATGAAAGCCTCTGAAGTGCTCTCGCTTTCAAAGCAGAAAAAGCAAAGAGAGGAGACTAAAAAGTTGCAGGTCTTTTAGGATTCTTGCTTACCTACCTTATGCAACAGCTGAGGAATTGCATGAGGTATTGCTTTGGGAACTATGGCAAGCCTTCTATTACAGACCTTAGAGCGGAAAGAATCTTTTGGCAAGATGCTTAAATTCAGCCCAAACAACTCAGGATCTGTCTGACCAGACTTGGGCATCCACAGTGTAAAAACCTGACATCTGTCCTAGTCACCTCTCCTTCCTTTCTCATCATTCCCTAATCAAGCACTCCTATGGCATCCTTCACCTCACTCTAAGATTGCACAGGGTATGTCTGGAACAGTATAAATAAAGCTTCTTAAAAGCAGGAAAGCCTGGCAACTTTTAAAATGTAAACTCACTTCTTGATAATTTTGTTGCGTTTGGCTTGTGAGAAGGTCTCCAGCTGGAGGGATTCATGAGTGAGAAAGGCCACTGCCAAATGGAAATAGTTATTCCAGAGCTGTGGAAGAGAAACAAGTCTAAACTAGGAGAAGACAAAGGAAAAGCAACAACCACCACAACAGAGCTACCCAGCCCCAAACGCTGCAGTGTCCCAGGTAGGTGTTAACGGGGACACAACAGTGAGCTGGCAGATGAGTCTGTGCTCTCACCACAGCAGGCGAGCCAGGAGCACATGGCAACTCAAAACTTCTCACTCTTTCTAGCTTGTGCTTTCCAACTAAAGGAAGCAACAGCGGGTACACCCGTGCAGCATTTTGTTCTTCCCTAGCCAAGCACAGATCAGCTAGGGCCAGCAAGATGCTCAGTGTGACCTTGCGAAGCCTGCAGCAGTGGCACTGCCTCACTGACCACAGAGTTCTGCCACCCAGAACTGCTTGGCACTCAGCAGCTTTCCTGTAAAAGACCACGGACATTTTCCACAGGCATGCTCCACATCAACCAATCTGTTAACGGTGGGATCTGTTTGTTCTTCCTGCCTTGAAGGGTTGGGGTCCATAAGAAAATACACAAACAATGGAACTATTACCTGAAGTTCAAAATTTGCTTCATCCAGAAAGACACGGTTGAGTACAGTGGTAAATTGGTTCACTGCCCGGAGGAAAACCCTGGAAGAGATCAAAAGATCAAATAAAAGGCTCTTAAAAAAGTAACATCGCAGTTCTGGGTTTATGACTTCTACATGTAAGCTCAGGAGACAGAACAGATGCTCCCAATTAAGACAGGTATTCTTCTGTAATGCTATTTCCCCTCTTTCCCAGAAGAGGGACACTCAGGGAAAGTTATTCTCCTGTTTCTGTTGAGAGTTGTAGAACACTGGAACAGGTTGCCCAGAGAGGTGGTGGATGCTCCATCCCTGGAGATGTTCAAGGCCAGGTTGGATGAGGCCCTGAGCAACCTGATCTAGTTGGAGATATCCCTGTTCCTTGCAGGGGGGTTGGACTAGATGACCTTTGAAGGTCCCTTCCAGCCCTAACCATTCTATGATTCTATGATTCTGAGCAAAAGAAACCTTGACTGGAGGTGGATCAAAACCAAAACCACATTTGGGGTCATCCAATCTCTTTGACAGTGCAATGTCATTCCAGATGGCAGCTTCTGTTAAGTTTAGTCCATCCTCTCCGCTGAAGCATCCAAAGAACTTGCCATTTTCCTGTCCTCCTCCACACTGCACCCCCGTGACACAGCACATGTTGGAGATGAGCTGCACGACTGTGCCATGCAAACAGGAGTTGCATGCCTGTTTTTTCTCCACTCTGCCCCCAGCCTGTGGGACCATTAAACTCACAGGGCATAGCCCCCGCAGTGTCGTGGATGGCAGGTTCTGGCCATGCTTTGCTACTTAGCACAGCAGCCAGCGAGCCAAAGCCATCCCAACTACAGACTGAGCAGGAGAGACTGACTCCCAGGAGGCCAAACAAGGTCCTGGGCCGAGGGCAGAGTGAAGCTGGGTAGCTGTAGCTCTCAGGCTCGCACACTCGGCCCTACACCATGCTTGTGTCCGACCCTAGCGTCATGTCTGGCACGTGATTGCCCCAGAACTGAAATCTAAACGGCTCCTCTGATTTACGTGGTGCTCTCCAGCAGATAAGCAACTGCTCTCAGGCTCGCACACTCGGCCCTACACCACGCTTGTGTCCGACCGTAGCGTTACATCTGGCCCCAGAACTGAAATCAAAACGTCTCCTCTGATTTGTGTTGTGCTCTCCAGCAGATAAGCAACCGGATGAAAGACAGTATGGTTTTGATCGGGTGCCTTTGGGCAGGAGAAGAAAGATTTCCAGTTCTGTCAGCAGAACCGTGCGGGCACCACAACCTACCGAAACCCCATTTACACCACCCTGCAACTGCAGAAGACAACGAGCCTACGTAACCCCAGTGATTTCAAGCCTGCTTGTGTGAGCCACCCTCCTTGCAGGACCAGGAGGGCTCTGAAGCAGCAGCAAGACTTAAAATAGCAGCAATTACGTACCTGCTCTGCATCATATTCATGACCATCCAGTCAGCTGCATAGACGTTTTTTCCAATCAGATCCTTAAACATAATGAATGTTTCCATCAGGAAGTCCTGTTGGAAAAATAAAACCCACAGCACATCAGGTTGAACACAGCAGTCTCTTATGCACATGAAAATATAGGGAAATGCAAATGTTTGCAGCTGCATTGATTAAAGATGGCATTGATCAGCAATCAATACGCTGTACCTCCCAAGAAGGATCTCTTATTGTGTGGGTATATTCCAATAACTAAATTATTTCTGACATCTCATTCATTCAATTACAGAAGGAGAAATAATTCCACAGAACATGTTGATCTGTTTAATTAAATCTGTCTTTACTGTTTTGAATTAAGTTGTGTGTAGGGAGTTCTGGTGCACAAGCTGGATTAAAAAGCAAAACCAATACTCAAGGACTTGTTTCCAAATGTCTGCATGATGACAGTGTAACAGCCCTATGCAGCATCTTCTATAAAGATGGAAATTATAATGTATTTTTCACTTCCCCCACTAGTTAAGTCCTTTCTGGTGCAGTTTAAGACAGACAGTCAAACAGAGGCAGCAAACATGCTGTCAGACACATGGTTGAGAACATTATTGCAGAAAAGACACTTTTTGCACAAACACTTAATTGCTCCAAACAAAACTATCACACCTTAAGACCTGGGCAAGGCAAGGTTGAATTACAGAGTAAGAAGAAAGGAAAAGGAAACGAAGAGAGATGAGCAAAAGAAGGTAATATCAAGAATATTGATCTCTATATTGTGATCTCTACAGATATAAACGCTACCTATGAGCAATTAAATGGATTCTATTCTCTACAAAGCATTCAAAAATGAGAGGAACCAAAGAAGGTCACAGGAGAAATCACCACCTTGCAAAGATCATGAGCAAAAAATAGTTCTGTTGAGCTGAACAGCTTGCTCTAAGGAATTGGCAAGCAACGATGGAGTAGAGAGAGAAATGGGCATTTGGTGCTGCCTCAGTAAAAATCCTTTAGGCATTATTAAATTGGAGCTTGATGGAAAGGTTTGGACTTGACAAGGGGCACCTTGAAGGTATGAATTAACTTACAACAGTGCTAAACCAACCAAGTAATGATGCAATGCCAGGACTGAAAACACCAGTGCAAATAAAACCCAACAATAAACAACAAAAATAAATAAAAAACAATTACTGCAGTGAAACAAAATACAATGTTCTATTGGTATTAACAACTACTATACCACCACAAACACAGGCTGGCTTCAGTAGATTTAAGGATTTGTAAAAATTAGATTGCAAATTGGTATTTTCAATGAGCATCTGCTTAAGTGAAATGCAGGTAGTTTTAAGGATTATGTAATTCACACTCTTCAAACGTCTTCATGTAGAAGCTTTATGTATACACACAGAGCAATATTTAAGTCAGAAGATGCAGAATCATGAGAAAAAACAAGACACACCTTCAACTTGCAAGCTGAGCTTCAGTCTGAAGTTTACATTTCAGGAAAGCTTTGAAGCACTTGCTTAACCTTACCTTCAACTTAGGTTAGGACGCTTGAGCTCAATTGCTTTTCAGGAAAGAGAAAAAAAATTCTATATTGAGGTTCACTCAACATAAAATTTGTTTTAATTCTGCCTTGAATTCATGTTTTTCTGAAATCCATCAGATTTATTTTTCTAGCTCTTCCTCCTCAGACATAGTATTTCTACTTAACCCTGCTGAAAACCTTTTCATTCATTTACTTGATGAATGCTGGCAAAATTCCTGTACCTACTTAATTTTTTTTTTCCTTCTTTAATGAAGAATGATTTGGGTATTATAAAAAGCAATTCTAAAACTAGATGATGAGTGCTCTCTATCCAGCCAAGTGGCCTTTTAGCTGCAGAAGGGACAGAAATGTGTGTGTCCTGTAGGTGGCTATGTTGCTCAACAGATTGCAAGCAATTCCAACTGCACAGGGAGACAGAGATCACCTTGCCATCCAAAATGAATTACAAACACCTTCTTGTGGGTTTTGATCTAGCTTTTACAGGAAGAACACAACTCCAGGCACTTCCTCAGCCAGTATTTAAATAAGCAAGCAATTCTACTCTGCAAAACAAAGAGTATGGGGACAAAAAAGACAGAATAGTTGCAGCGTCGCGCGTCAGAGACTTGCATAAACACTGGGTTTGGTTCTGACTTGTTTTGGGCAGTCTGGGGAAAAGTCTGGACAGAGTTGTTAATTCTAAGGGCCTTGAAAAAAGAGAAAACAAACAAAACCAAATACCTAATGTTTCACCTGGTTTCATATTGAAAGTCAAGGGGACGTGAATTGTACCCATTTTTTAACATGAAGGGAACTATTTGCATTGCTGCCCACTAAAGCATGACTAAAGTATTTAATTAGACTCTAGAAGAGAGGAAAGAATTAGAAAGAAGTAGATAAAGAGAACAGGATCACAAAGACACAGTGAGAGCATGAAAGGGGAAAACGCTTTTCCTTTTCATCATCGTTCACTCTTCTGGTTCCTGACTTTTTAATTGCACAGACTTAAATAGTCATTAAACATGTTTTTACTCAATGCTGCAAATGCTATTCTCAGGCTCTACTGAGTCCACATCCACTGTGTATACCCAGCACGGGTGATGTGAATATATCCCCAGTGACTGTGGCATTAGGTGCCCCTAAGTCATTGCTGATGAACGCAGTACCACCACTCCAAACGGAAAACGATAACTCAAAGTGACCTTTCAGAAGCAGAGTGTAATTCTTTATGGACTGGGCTAATCCCCCAGCCAGGCTGACTTACCATAATGTCCTGCTTGGTTTTGAAGGTACTGATGTAATAGTTGTAATGGGAATCTTCCATCTGCCTCAGGATGGCTGTCATGCAGGCCACAAAAATACCCTAGAATAGGAAAACCAAAACATTTTGTTATTTTCCTGTATTAAGTACTGTAAGTTCAAAGCATTGCATATACTTTCAGAGTTCTGCTTAATCAAATATCACTGATCAAAATCCTGCTTGTCTATGTCCTGGCATCAGCCTGTGTGACTGTTTAGTCCTCTACCATAAACTAGTCCAGACTTCCTACATTTCAAATACAAAGTCTAGGCATAGCTTTCTTTCTCCCCAGGGAACCCAGTTTGCAAGAAAAACACACCCTCGAAACAACAGAAAAAAATAATATGTATGAATCACTTCATTGTATCATGATTCTATGATTTTTCAAATTTACTATGGCAACTTTAATTCTCCCAGCTGACGTATCGGTAACAGCATTAACTTGACCTTAGAGTTATCAAAAAATAAAAGACTGCTATAAACACCCAGCTCTTCATTTTTCCATCTTTCTGTAGATGAAGTACCGGGTAAATTAAAACATATCAACTTGCTTACACCTTCTGAGTTGCCACACAGTAGTCAGAAATGCCCCTTAGAGATGCCTCATCCTTTAGCATTTAATCCTATTCAGTCAAGGTGACAAAAGAGCATTTTTTCAGCAAAGACTCCTTGTGTATTAGAAACTGCACTGAAACCAAATTCTCTGTGCACAAGGGCCCAAAGGAACTTGAAATCACAGCCAGCTGTGACTCAGTTCGACCTGCTGCTGGAATAGGACAATTTGTACCCTAATACCTGGTCTCAGAAAACCACGAAAAGCCATGTTTTAGTGGCACAGAAGCCCTGCAGGAAACGGAAAGATGATTTCATAAACCACTGCTACACACTGGGATCTCCCAGGAGAATAAATTCCACTGTAACAAACGGTAAAGTAATAACTGAAGCAAGTAAAAGGCTCTCACAATGTGTGGAGACTGTCTGCTCATTCCGATCACCGTGCGGTTTACTCTCCTTAGCAGGCGTTCCATGATCAGCTGGATGTGGAAACCAGTCTGCCCCTGGAGATATCCAGTGAGGAAAATGTGAGACAATTCTTAATGTATACTGTTCTATAGAGTGCTCTCAGCATGGGGGGACTGCCCTGACAGTGGTTACTTGCTATTAGAGGGTACAAAAAAGGAGAATTAAAACACACGAGCAATCGATTCAAATACTGTAGGGATACACTTGGTGGAGAGCTCGCATAATTGATCAGCTTCATTAGTTCATCCTGGCAGAGCTAAATCAAACAGCTCTTCAGCTCCAGCTATTCTGTTCACAGCAACTTAGAATCAATTACCATGACTAATGTGGTGAGTAACTGTAGTCTCCTGACTGAATGATGTTTGTTGTCCCTACTGCATAGCAGAGAAAAGGAGAAACCAAATACTTCTACTACTTGCTTCAAATAATTCAACAGGCCACCAAAGTAGTTGGGAATAACGTTTTGGTCCCTAGAAAGGAAAGTAATTGCTTTTTGTACTGTAGTGATAACCACTAATTCAACAGCTACTTTATGTGCAAAGAGATTCAAAGAACCATGCAGCAACGCAACACAATTTCTGCAAAGATCAGAACTTTGTAATTCTTTAAAGTGTAAGTTGACAACATTTCTTGGCCATAACTTCTCAAAAGAAGAATTAACCTTAATTTGCACCCTTGACAGTTCATGCTCACCACGTCTTTCCGATCCAGGACTTCAAGAACACTGCTAAGTAGCTGTGAGCTGGCCTCGTGGTCAGGCTTGTTTGAATTGTCATCCAACTGGCCGCTTAGCTGATCTATTAGTAGAGGCAGAAGAGCATCTCTGCATTCTAAAAAATGAAACAGAGCATTGCATCTTGTTGGTCTCAGGAAGTTCTTCAGCATTCACTACACATGGGTACCACACCATAGCTTTCTGCTCATAACTACTTTATTTTGAACATCCAAACATGCTTAAATTCACTTGAGTTACCACTAACAGATTAGAGAGAGTCATAAATAACCTGTAATTACGTGTATTGCATCAAACAGCACACTCTCACCTTCTGCCTCTTGCTAAATGAACACCCTGGATCAGGATCCTACGCTATTCGGCACTGTATAAAGACTGAACAGCAAAAAACCTTTCAGTTGTTCCATGGCAAGGAATATTTCTGAAGAGGGATTTAACAGCAGACTACTGTTGATGTAAAGGACACGTAAACTTGAGAGATGTTTTTGTTTTAAAGGGTGTGTGGCCTCATCCAGAATCCAGAGACTTCAATTTGCCACTTACCGGTCTGTTTGAACAGCTCACTCTCGACTATCTTGGTCATGCAGTTTAGCTTCTGTCGAACCAGCTGGTTGTCAGGAATACTTTGGATAAACTTGCTGAAGAGGACACTAGTGTGCAAACCACAAAGCAAGCAGACAGTCAGCGTTTTCACCCAATGTGACTCCATCCTACAGTTCCACTGTCCAGTATTCAGAAACTGCAGGCTTCATCTCTTTTAAAACTCCTACAATGAAGCTTGCATCTCAAGACACACTAGATCTATCACAAAAGCTTCAATTAGGCAATACTACCTGCCCTCCAGTGTCAGCACAAGATAAATCATACTTATTTTCATACAAAATGAAAGTAGAATTTTGCAAAGCTTCAGCAGACCACTGCTGAAACTTGAAACACTGCTATATACAGTTGCAAGAGCACATCCTTCCAGATGCCCCTTTCATCAAGCATGATGACTCATTTCAATCCAAGATTCCATTAAATTCAATTCCATGTACATTTGCTGTCTGTCTACTGTTTATGAGCAAATTACGTGTGTCAGAACAAAAAGGCATGGTTGGCAGGTTCTGGGCATATGAACACCAAAGAAGAGAAATCCACAGTGTTGTGAATTTCCTGAATAAATACAACTTTTGTTTTCCCAGCCAAGGGCATGTCTTTGTCACACATTTCAGTTTATCTCAGAAACAACCATTAAGAATTGGTGGAAACTTGCAGAACATTTCAACATATCACACCCCAGTCCTCAAATTTTGGTTTTCAGTGAAATCTCTAAGTGTCTAAGCACGAGCAGTTGAGATGCACAGATTCCTTTGAACTAAACTGGCTTCCTTTAGAGCCCTGCAAATGCTTCCTCAAATACCTGCACGGTACGTGCATCATCATGTCATAATCAGAGAGGCTCTCTTTAGGAAAGTTTCCAAAGTTCTTCCCAACAGATGAGCTGGGTTTAGAGGACAAACAAACTTAACACAGATACCTGAGCTCAACGGGGTCAAATACTAGTTTCACATCATTTATGATGCTTGGCAAATACTTTAAAGCTGCACCCTGCAAGAAAAAAAAACCAAGGATGTGAAACACACAGGGAAACCGAGTTAGACTAGCTTGTTCATTCTACAAGGGTGTAAAGGCTCAACAACAATGCCCATAGCTCACATAGCAACTCTAGTTTTTGTCAAGAGCAAATATGCAGACACCTGTAGAGAACTGTCTTAAAATTTATGCATCCAAAGAGCCTCCAGCAACCACACACCTGCAGCGTAGAGCGGAAAAGGTGAGGGAGGAAGGATTCGTAGCTACGTTCTTTAGTTTTGGCAAACATCCTGCAGTTCCAGGGATTAAGCTCCCATAGACTGACATGAAAAGCACTAGTCACAGTTAAACTGACTCGGTGTTCCACATACTTTACCACGTACACATGCACAGTAAGGAGTTATCTGGGTGCTAATACAGTTTTCATAAATGTACATCCAGACAACTAGGTGCAGCAGCAACTAAAACCCTTCCAGCAACTAAACCCCTTCCTGTGATGGTCTATGGCTGCTGCCAGCAGCTGCTCTGCCTGCGTGAGAATCAAAGTTGGGCTTTTAACCACCCAAGTGCTAATTCAAAGTCCAGAATCAATCTTTCCTTCAAACAGAGAAGCATGTTGGCTAGAAGAACTGAAAGCAAGCAAGCAATTTAGCAGCCTCATTGCATGGCTGTGATGCTCTGAGGAGGAGCATCAGCGGAAGGTTCGTAATCCGGTCGACACCAGAAAAACAAGCATGTATAAATTCTAAGATACATTTAGAAACTACTTGTTTTTTCCATTACTTTCATTCCCAGCATTATGTTGATTGTTGTAGTGGTTTAACATTTCTGTTTCCATCATCCCCAAGCCTGGTGTTCCTGGTTGAAAAGTCTCCCGCACTGCAGCAGATTACATCTTCATTGGTTGTTAGCTTTCATCCTAGCACGTGCTGAAGGGTTTTCAGCAAAGCCACAGCTCTCATCTTTATTTGATAAACTTTGAGGTTTAAATATTCCTTTTCTGCCACGCACAGTTCATTAAAACAGACATTCAGAGGTGGTGTGACTCATCCGAATGGGTTTCACGTGCCTCAAAGCTTGTCCCTTTTTCTGCCTCCCTCCTTTCCTCTGCAACTGTAGCAGTTGATCTAATAAAAGGTATTACCTCTCCCTGCAAATTATGCATACCTTAATCTTGACAGCCTCCTCTAAAGGCCGGTCCATGAGGACATTGAAGGAGAGGAACAGTTTGCGTATTGCATCATTAAATTCATCTCCATCTTCACTTTTCTCATAAAACCTACAAAGAACAGAAAGAGCTAGTTATACACATAAATCTAGGCTAACAGAGTCACAGTAGCTGAAATATGATTTTATTCTGTGGAACAACATCTTAAAGCAATCTCCTTCTACACAGATACGAGTGTAAAA